TCAGTGAAAATAAGCCTAAATGCAAAAAACAAACAAGGAAATATATATATGCAACAAGCATGGCATATAAAGGGATATACCTTAAATGTAAAAAGAGCTCTTATGTATCAGTTTAAAAACTTTGAAGCATAATAGAAAAATACCGAGCAGAGGCCATGAAATAGGTAAGCATAAAAAAAGTTAAATACCAAAAAAATAACATGTAAACAACTTAATAAAGCTAGTCATCAGTATAAAAATAAAACTGGCTACCTGTGATGTGGCATGCTGCTAAGATGCTATGATTGCAGGCTCGGGCCATATGGGAGGCCCAGGCTCAATTCCTAGTCCAACCCAAAGGCCAGGCCCAGTGAGTGGTATGTGCCTGCAAGTACCAGAGACAGAGAGGCTGAGGTAGGATTGTGACATGACAAGGTCCTGTCTTAAAATAAATAAATAAGGTGCAGGGGGGGTTAGTAGGTGGCATGGTAGTTAGTGTGGTGGACGTTCCCACATGGCTGACCACGGTTAGAGTCCCAGACCTGGTAGCTTGCTTTCTCACTGTCCCTCTCTCTCTATGTATGTCTCTTTCTGGTCAAATTAAAAATTAAAAATGAATAAATAAAATTAAATAAATAATTCTAATAAATAACTAACTAAATAAGGTGCTAACAGGTGGCGTGGTGGTTAAGGTGCTGGACTCCCACATGGTTGACCATGATTCGAGTCCTGGACCTGGTGGCTTGTTTTTCATTCCACCTGTGCCCACTGCCCCCCTCCCCCCGTGAGCACACATGCCCTGTAGAAAATTTTAAAATGACAAAAATGATAAATAAAATTAATAAATAATTCTTAAAAACACACACACACACAAATGAAGTACGTGGGGCATGCTGGTCCATGGTGGTTAAGGTGCTAGATTTCCACACGACTGACCGCAATTTGAGTCCTGGGCCTGACAGCTTGAAAATCACACCAGGCGCATGTGCACGTGTGCCCAAAATCTTGCGAGGAGAATAGAGGAGGAGGGACTGGGGCATGGCCATCCCCCCCAGGGAGGGGATTTCTCACTTTCCCTCTCTCTGTCTCTGGCAAATGCATGTATCCTATGGCAAAACCTAAAAACAAAAACCAAAAACTAGGTATGCATGATGTTTACAAAGATAGTGAAGCTATTCCTCCAAAACGAACACATTAAAAATTCCTTCAGGCCAGTCTTTTATCATTTTATTTTTAACTAAGGGAGGAGTATGATCTGACACTCGTTTTGGAGGATAACCTCTGATTACCAAAGGGATGTGCTTTTCCACTTTGTGGTCCTGAGTTATCCTATCAGAATCTCCTAAGATGCTTTGTAAACACGGAGGTCTAGGCCCCTTTCCCAGCCACCATTCCTACCACACAACCCAGTAAGTCTTAACTTCTGGAAGTGGGGGGCCCTCACATGGTTCTCAAACATTCCTGGTGACCTGTAAGTATATTTAAATCTGAGACTTAACAGCTGCTCAGAGAAAGAAAAAATGGAAGGGCTGGCATAGTGGTCAAGGTGCTGGACTCCCACTTAGCTGACCATAGTCCAAAGACCAGATCCAGCAGCCAGGCGCATGTGCACACATGCCTAAAATCCCAAGAGCAGAATGGAGGAGAAGGAATTTCTGTGTGGCTATCCTTCCTGGGTGATTTCTCACTTTACCTTTCTCTGTATCTCTCTGTCTCTGTCTCTCTCTCTCTCTCTGGTGAGTGCACTCCGCTAAGGCAAAAACCTAAGGGGGGGGAGAGAGGGGAGGGTAGGCAAGTTCACCTGTGCCATTCATATTTATATTAAGTCATTCTCTTGTTCTTTTTTCCTCTATCCCTTTGTCTCTCCACCTGCTTTTCCATAATCTACAAAAGCTGAAATCAAGGTGAACAAAGGACATTGAATATCAGGTGCTGTAGGGATTAAAACATTTAAGGAAACCCATGGAATGGCTGATATTCATACCAACCACTAATCCTGTCTCAATTTCTGTCTCGGCTTACCTGGTTCTTGGGTTTTTGATGAAGCCAGTGTTTATGAAATTAGGACAGAGACATGTTGTTTTGATTCCAGTTCTTTCTAGGGCAGCCAGTTCATCGGTCAAAGCTCTGTGAAATCCAACAGCAGCAAATTTGCTTGAACTGAAAAATAAACAGAGTATGCACACTAATTCGAGAACACTGACATATTGTTTAACCCAGATACCTATTTTCCTTGGGTAAGTGTGATTCACTGGTGAGATGCACAGGGGCCACCTGAAATGTGTCATTCTAACCATGTTACATGTACATTTCAGTGACATTAATTACTAGATTATTCTTTATACTAATGTGTGAATTAGTAATTATAGTAGCTATAAACTGTTGCCAATTAAGCTGTACTTTGGAAGACAGAAAGTTGTGGCACCTTCTCTCTTATTTTTTTAAAAAGCTTACTGCGTTTTTTTTTTTAAACTTACTGTAGGCTTAAAAGAAAGACTGCTAGATTCGATTACACAGATGGCATAGTGGTTATGTTGCTGGACTCCCACATGACCAACTGTGGTTTGAGTCCCAGACCTGGTGGCTTGAGACTCATGCAGGGCATGTGTATGTGCATGTCCCAAATCCCAAGAGAATGAAGGAGAAGGGATTGCGGTGTGGCCATTATTTTGCGACATAAAACAAGAGTGGGACCAGCAGATGGTGTAATGCTTATGTTGCTTAGTAGACTGTGGTTCGAGTCCTGGATCTGGCAGCTTAAAGGTCACACCAGGCATGTGTGCGTGCGTGCCCAAAATCTCGAGAGGAGAATGGAGAAGGCATTGCCACGTGGTCATCTCCCCTGGGGGTGATTTTTTTGCTTTCTGTCTCTGTCTCTCTGTGTCTCTCCAGCAAGTACATGCTCCCTATAGCAAAAGTTTCTCTGAAAAAAAAGGGAGGGTAAAGATTAATATATGGCATCTTGTGTAAAGGAGTAAGATAACGCTCCAATAGATAAATGGCTACAAGAACATTAGCAGAAAATTCAGACTAAATATCCCAATAGATAGAGTCATATAAAGATGTTTTATTCCAGTAGTCATCCATACAAATTCAAAGTAAAATGAAAGAGAATTTTTGCCTAGAAACAATGGTAAGGATATGAGGAAATTTGTATTTGCTTGATTGGTTTGTATTTAACAAAATGGCATCTCTGTTTAATGACACAACCGTTAAGAACAGATCTGATTAAACACTGTCTTCTGCAGGCAGAAGTCTTCCATTTGACTCTGCGAACATCGTACAATTGATCAGATGCTGAACAACTGAAAAGAAGATCACTGTGGTCAGTAAGGATTACAGTCTGCAGCAACGCAGGGCAGCCACAGCTGAAGACTCCAAAGAGGAGTTCTACAAAGGCTAGCAAGTCACAGAGCTGTCCAGAAGCTGCAGGTGTCGCTGCCTCACCTGTTACCCTTGGCACCCTTGTGTGAATTTCGGAAAGCAATTCCTCTTCTCAGCTCTCTACTGCCACCTGCCGGCGTACTCACTCACGTCTAGGAGGGCTTCGATTTGAGTCCTGCACCCAAGAATTGGGAAGGGCACGATCTGCACCCCTGTGGGTGTCGTCCCTGCTTGGACCAGGACTCGATGAGAACCTTTACTTCCGCCGGAAGCGCCGTCACTAATCACCGAAATAAATCCGTTTCCCTCACAAAGGATATTTGCCCTTGGTTTTCACTGCCTAACCCTCCGCCGAGCAGAATCGAATCAGAACCCAAAGAGCTGGCCTGTTTACTACAACCAGGGGAAGGCGGAGACACGGTGGGGCTGGACTGCTTCACCACTCAGTTTATCTGTTTTTGAGAATTCAATCCCAAGTCTATGTCTATTGTTATACATTAGAAAACAAAGATTGTTCAGAAAAAAAAAAAGAGGAGGAAAGAAAGACAAGATATAGATGAATAAAAAGAACGAAATAATAATCACTTGTCATTACCAAAGGATAACCACTTTCTAGACATGGTAAGAATGAAACAGTTTGGTTTATATCCTTGCAAACTTATGAAACACACACAGATATATGTTTACACATAAATGAAGGAACTTCAAAAAGTTCATCAAAATGAAATTAAAATATGATTTTATTTTGGTTCAGAAAGGTTGTGAAATCCATGCTTTTTAAAAATAATTATTTATCTTAATTTTTAATTTATTATTGTTATTTTAATTTGACCAGAGAGAGATAGAGACGGGCGGGGGGGGGGGAGGGAGAGGAGGGGGGGGGGGGGGGGATGAGAGAGCAGGAGAGCAGGCTGCCAGATCCAGGACTTGAACCGCTGTTGGCTATGTGGGAGTCCAGTGCCTTCACCATGTCACCTGCCAGCCCGCATTGTTTTTTCATGCCACACATTTCCCATTTCGAAGACCATATATAAAAACAAACTACCCACCTATGCCTATATGTTTATACACATATCTACAGCTACATACACAACTATACCGGCACTGTTTGTAAAATCTAGATACTTAGTTCCAAAAGAACATAAGAGCAGAAAACAAATGTGAGCATTCTATGTAAGCATATTTTCAGAATTGTAATTTGACACTGTTTTTTAAATCATTTATTTATTTATTTTTATGTGTTTTGAGTTTCAAGTTTCTAGGTCTGGAACTTGAACCACGAAGCTGGCCATGTTAAAATCCAGTGCTTTAATCATCGTGCCACCTGCTGGCCCCATAATTAGACATTTTTTAAGTTATTATTTGCTAGAATATAGAAACAGCCAAGCTGCCTTAGGCTTTGTGCAATGGGCAGGCTTGCTCTGGCTACGGGGGCCAGTGGAACATGCCATCTCTGTGACTCATTTTCCTACATCAAGTTCTCCAAGTTATGACAATGGCATGTTTTTAAAATAAATAATAACAAAAAATTTTGAAAACAGTTCCACTGTCTGGATGTTTTCAATATTTAGAATCCCAGATTATATGCTCTCTCTCTCTTTTACATTTTGTGTGGTTTCCACAAACTATTACTTGTTTTAATTATAGGTATTGACTATTGCACATGGTAGAAAAATACTGTCCTTGTTTGCCAATTCCTTGCTGCTAAAGGGGATGACAAATGCTTTGAGTAGCTGACTCGTAATTGGATAAATTCTTTGCAGCCACCCCTGTGGAACAGCTGGTCTGCAAGTTGAAATCTAGAAGGGAATTAGTAATTGATAATGCTGTTATAAAAGAGACTTTGCAATTCTTCCTGCTGCTTTGGCAGCTTCAAGTCTATGATCTTTAGAAAGGTGGTCCTCACCGGGCTGGGTAAAAAAATTTCACACATGAGTTAGGCATAGAAGTCGATGAAGGAAATACATGTTCACATACCAGTAAGCCATTAAGAAGGGGACCACAGTGTGTCCAGCTGCTGAAGCCACGGTAACAATATGGCCATGATTATTCTTCATCATCGCTGGGAGAAATGCCTTTGTAGTCTAGGAATAGATTTTATTATTACTGTATTAAAGAACTATTTATTTATTTTTATTTATTATTATTATTTTTTAATTTGACCAGAGAGTAACAGAGAGAGAAAGAGGGAAGGTGAAAAAGCAAGCTGCCAGGTCTGGTACTCAAATTGTGGTTGGCCCTGTGGGAGTCTAGAGCCTTAACCACCAGGTCACCTGCCAGCCCCTGGGAATAGATGTTATTAAAAGAGAAAAAAACATGCTGTATTTCTGATCGGTAGCCCCATTGGAAATATTCTGAAAGAAAGTTGTATTGTTTTTAACATTGTTCTTGATATAAATGAAAAAAAACTAAATTAATTGCTAAATGTGGTAATATAAAGCAACAAAATAGAATGTCTACATTAGAAAACCTAAACATAGGGGCCAACAGGTGGCATGGTGGTTAAGGCACTGAACTTCCACATAACCAACTGCAATTCAAGTCCTGGACCTGGAGTCTTGCTTTCTCACTTTCTCTCTCTCTCTCTCTGGTGAGCACATGTGCCCTATAGTAAATAAAATAATAATAATAATAAATACAATTAAATAATTTTTTTAAACGAATATTACTTAAAAAACTAAGCAAAGCTAAGTGGCATGGTTAAAGCACTGGATTCCCACATGGTCAACCATGGTTCAAATCCCATACCTGGTGGCTTGAAAATCACACCAGGCACATGTGTGTGGAGCCAAAATCCTGAGAGAATGAAGGAGAAGAGATTGCAGCATGGCCATCCCCCCTGGAGGATTTCTCACTTTCTCTCTCTCACTGTCTCTGTCTCTTTCCTGTGGGCATACATGCCCTATGCCAAAAAAGTAAAAAAAAAAAAATGAAAGAAAAACTAAGCAAAACAATAGATACTAAAAGCTTTGCAAATCTGTTTCATTTAAATTGCTAAATTCTGAAGTCCACTGATTCATCTCTTATCATTGACATTTTTTATTGGCTCATTTAAGAAACAGGCACCCTAATCTAGAATTATCAAAGAATTTACGTTTCATGTAAACGAATAATACCCTGCATTTTAAACCAATGAAAATACAAAGATAGCTGTAATACCTTGGGAATACAGACATAAAATAACGATGCATTTTCACCAACCCCAGGATTCTTTTCAGATTAGTCATCCTAAACTACCATCCCAGAAACCTCGGATTAATCCTTTGTCAAGGACTAATTGGGCAATGTTTGCAGATCTCAGAAGTACACACGTGTGCACACAAACACACACTTTTTAAGACCTTGAATAGTGAGGTTCATAAAAAAAGTTTGCAATTGTAGAACCAGGAAATAGAAGGTCTCAGCCTGAGGTGTGAGAATATGAATGCAAACTCGGTTCACTTTTCTAGAACACAGGTGATGATTTGGATAGCTGTTAATCCCTTTCTTTTCTTTTGTTTTAGACAATTCTCCTGCCTCAGCATCCCCAGTGGCTGGGACTACAGGGTGTACCACAGTGCTCAGTGTTTTAGGGTGGGCCAGGGTTTGAACCCAAGCCTCCCATGTAGCCTTAGCCTGCAGAGTAGCAGTGTCTAACAGCACGCTATCATGGCTGGACTCTATCCCTTTTTATGTTTAAACAGGATCACACAGATACGAGAATTTAGCTTAAACTTAAAACATGTACAACACTATAATTTATCATCATGTTATTTATCAGTAGTGGTATGAATTTTTTAGGGAGGAGGAAGAATGATTGGTGGAATTTGGTCTTAGTGTGAAAAATAATATCTTTGTATAATGTTATCCCAGGACATGGAAAAAAGTTTAGCATTGATTTACTACTTCTTTAATATGCTAAGAGCTCCATTTTAAACCTAATCTTTGGGGTTTTCAAAGGGAGTGTTTTAGTAAAAGAAATCATACGCACCCAGAAATGTGCAAGTATATTCACTTCAAAAGTCTTTTCGATCTGAGGATCTTGTGTAGCAAACAAATCTGATGTGTAGACTACACCAGCATTATTTATTAAAATACTAACATCTCCAATTTCCGTCTTCACCTGGAAAAATAAAACGAGAAAACACATTAAGCGGTGTGAGGGTAGGCTTCCAAAGCAATGGTTAGTAAAGGAGTGGGTGTTTTTCTATTAGATGTGGGAAAAAAATAGTTTTGTAGTCTATGTGCCAATATGAAAAAAAAAATCTCCTTTTTGTTTTTGGTTCTCTTGTCAAAAACAGTTTTGCCTGCAATCTACCAGATAGAAATTTTCTTTTGCAAGTTAGTCTTTTGACTTTGCTCTATTGATTAGAGTTTGGGAGATATTTGGCTAACGAGTATTTATTTTTTAAACACTACTTCAAAAGGTAAGCAAAAAAAAAAGTTAAAGTAGTAGTAAGTTCAGGGACAATTACAGAGAATTATGGAGGACTGACTACACTATTAAGCTGGTCACATCTTCTATTTCAGTAGTCGCTCTGTTCCGTTTCTCCCCCATCTTTCCCCATCAGGTGGCAGCAGGCTTAGTAGAGAAGACAGTGATGACCTTGGTCATCCTTGAGTTGAGTCCTGGATGTGCCACTGAACCCTCTGCTG